CGCCGGGGCGGCCGGGTTGGGAGGCTCCGCCGGGGCCGGCGGTGCCTGACGCTCTGCTGTAAACAGGGATGAAAAGCCCCGCACGCAAAGATTTTTTCAAGTTTTTTTTTTTTTAAAACAATTTCTAGCCCTGCTACTAAGTTTAATGGCTGGATGAGGGAAAGAACATGTTATCAGCAGATTGTTGCCCCTAGGGCTCGGGGGAAGAGGGATTTTACTGGCTGAAGCTAATTGGCAGAATAAGCTGTCTTAAAGCTGATCAAATCCCATTACAAATGCAGTCAGGGACAGGGAGCATGAATCTTGCTCCTCGGGGTCTGCTCTGCCAAGGCTTCCCGAACTCCAGGGCTGGCAGAAGGGCCGTGCCTGCCGCCGTCCTCCGGAGCCCAGCCTTCCCTGGGCTGAGGCAGCGAGAACCGCCTCGGGCTGGCGGCGGACACTCGGCCTCGCCAGCGCGCTGGTGCCAGGGGTGTTGGGGGGGCTGCGAGGGGAATCCTCGGTGGATCCCAGTTCCTGTGCCCTGCTTTCTCCGCAGCGCACTGCTGCGAGCGCTGCGTTTTGAGATCGGGAGTCGTAACTGTTCCTCCCTGTGATATTGCAGTTTAAGTCCTGTATTCACCTGCCTTTAAGTGAGAAGCTTTACCCCATAGCTAGCCTGACTTCCCTTCTCCCCAGTCCCTCCTCTCTGCCCCTTCACTGAGCCCTGTTTTGTCAGAAGCAGGGTCTGTGAGCTGGGGGCTGACGGAGCAGGAGGGGAAACCTGTGGATGAAGAAGGAGGGGGGGAAAAAAGGAGCAAGTTATTGCAGGGTCTCTTTCTGCGTTCACTGCGTTGTCCCAGCTGCAGCTTGCGATGGGCAAGTTTCCCCTGCCTCACGCTTCACAGCAGGCGCAAGGGCGCAGAGCCCGGTTTGGGCTGAAGCGGCACATGTGAGCTCATCTCAGCACGCGCTGCTGAAGCGGGCCCCGGTGCTGGAGCTGGCTGGGTGCTCTGCACCGAGGTGACTCAGCACTCCCCAGATGATGCCCGCCACAGGGTAACGCACCAGCATTGCCAGAGCACTGCTGCAGCTTGACCAAGGGGCCCCGCTCTCAGCCCCTGGAGGCAGGATCCCTGCACAGCATTGCACTACCCGGAAGGATGGGCTTGATGGATGGCTTAAACTGTGCAGACTTGACCAACAGGGCTGCACCAAGTATGCTGTGACAGGAGAGGTACAAAGACATGTGAAATGGGTACGGTGCAGTTTAATGAGCCCCCTGTCCTTAAATCCTCCACCTGCTTTTAATTGAGATTAATTTCCCTGAACGTTCCTGTGTCTACAAGACCTTGGAGGCATTGGTATGGGTGGCAAGAAGGATACATTAGCATGCGGTAATTGGGGTTGACGAGAGTGCTTTTTAACGAAGTGAAACGTTGTCCTTGCGTTGCGTTGCTGTCTGTTCCTCTGGAGCTGGTGAGCGAGTGAGAGTTGTGTAGGGCCTGGGGGCTTGGATCTGCGCATGCAGAGGGTTAGATAGCAGGGCAGATCCCCAGGGGATGTGGTGCTCTTCCTGGATGTCCCTGCTTCTGCGCTAGGGACGGCTGAGGGGACGCATGTCACTTCCCAGGCTGGTTCAGTTTTTAGAATAAAATTTTAGCAGTGTTGATCTCTGCTAATGTGTCACATCACACATAGGAGTGGGTACGCGTCCCGGTCAAGCACCCTTCACTGACGTACCAGGGATGGAGCACTGGCATATCTGGGCTCCCTTGGCATCGGGAGGAGGAGGGTGACTGTGCTGTGAGGTAACTGCTCAGGACAGCTTGGAAACTGGGGGACAGAGCCCGCCTGCTGGCAGGCTGGATGGCTGGTGCCACCAGCTGGGGCTGAGGCACGTCGCTGTGCACAGGGACGAGCGCTTGCCCCGATGTGGAGTGTCTTACCCAGGCGTGGCAGTAACGCTGTCCTTGTCTCGCAGGAAACTGAAGCGCAGGAGGAGAGGGACGAAGGGTTAAGCAAGAGGCTGAGGTGCCTGTGCAGGGTCTTGCAGAGCTGGAAGGAGCACCCAGGGCTGCAGGTCTCCCCACGGCTCCCGAGCCCACGCTGCTGGGGCAGGACGGGGATGAGCTCCCCTGGCGCAGGGGGAGAAGGGACTCGGCACGCCGGGTGCCAACACCTGGAGAACCTGGTGCCGGCTGAGCAGAGAGGAGACCGTAACTCCTGGGAGCCGCCTGCCTAGCCCTGCTTTCAGTAGGCTTTGCTGTACGCTCAGAAACCTGTGTAAAATGGGTGTGTGCGCAAGTAAAACAAAATTAGGAAGGTAAGGCAAATAACTCTGTCCTGCAGTAATGCCAAGGGCTGCCCGGGGGAAGGGCTGTCCAACCCCATCCATCCACGCCAGCACAGCTGAAAGGACGCTTGGCTGCTGCGCAGGCACCAGGCGGGGGCTGCTGCATCCCCAGCCGTGTCCGTCAGCAGGGGTTTCCTCGCACAGTCCCTAACTGTGCCCTCCGGCCGCCCTCCCCTTCCCGCCGCGCTCGCCGTGCAGCCCGGCCCCGGGGCGGGTGTTCTGATGTTTCAACGAGCAGGGGTGAGGGAACGGGGCTCTGTCTTTTGTCCAGGTTGCACGGAGTCATATGAGAACTGGCTTACACCTGCCACCGGGCCAGAGCGGCCTCGTGCGAGGAACCGGAGCCGCGGGACAGCACGCGTTCACGGCGCGTTCGTGGTCACGACAGGCTGCTGTGTGACGCTTCCGTCAGCAGGTGTGGGGACCTCTGTGGCCATGCGCAGCCCTCCCTCTCCTTAATTCCTCTGCCTCCGCAGTAGCTTTTGGGCTCTTCTCTTCTTGACTTGAAGTGGGGCTGCTGGGAAGAGAGACTGGAGAAGAGGCAGGGGTCTCTGGGAGTCACCTTCCCTCCCAGCCAGCAACAGCTGGGATGGAGGGGTTGTACATACATACACGCAGGAAAAATATGTTTTCACCAAGGAAAAAAAATGGCTGGCTTATGCTAAAATGGCTTATCTGGTTTAGTGGCCCAGGATTAGCTGCATTAGCAAAAAGCATTTTTCTGGTAGTGCCTCTGCATCTGTAATAGGGATGTGACTCTCTGGAAATTCCACCCCAGACTTTAGGGTGTTAGCACTAAACAGGGCAAAGCCAGTTAAGCTTGGTCTAAAACTGAGATCAAAGTAACTAACCTGATTTTGTTATGCCTAGAAGGGGTTTTTAGGACTTTAGTCTGGCTTTACAGCTGCAGAAGGTGGATTTGGCCAGGCAGTAGGACATACAGTATTTGGTGCTGGTCAGTAGCCTGTCTTGGGCTGGCTTCCACTAGGGTCCAGCAAACAGGGAAATGAGGTTTAGGTAAAGCTATTTCTTCTCTGCTAAAGCATGCAGGCAGCCAGCATCATCCAAAACGCTGTTGGCAAGGGATGCTGGCAGGTAGGACTGCTCTCCTCTGCCCTGAGCTGGGCTGAGGTCAGAGGCACGCGTCACTCCTGGAGCCTCGCAGCAGCGCAGCTGGCCCCATACATCAGTTTTGGGTGGGCACAGCGGTGGTCTTATTCCCAGGCAGCTGCTGCCTGAGGATCCTGCCGAGCTGTCTGCCCGGCTGCGTTTCAAAGCCATGCCGCAGCAAGCTGGCCAAGCGAGCCTCGTGCTGCATCTGCCTGGATAGGGAAGCACATCCTGACAGCGTTGCTTAAGACTCCTTAAACATCGTTAGAAAGTGCGGCGCGCGATCAGACAGGCAACAACAAGCTGATGTACGAACACCTAACGTGCGACGGCAGGCAGGCAGCTGCACAGAACTGATCCCTTGTCGGGGGACACATCTCGCTGTCTGGAAGCTGGGGAGATGCAAAGAGCTCTAAAGCGATTGTTTCACAAGTTTTATCTGGGGTTTTAAAAGAGGAGCTTCTGATAAATTAACTGCAACGTGTCAATTTAATGCTTTTCTTCCTCTCCAAGTACCTTTGCCAGGCTCTGCCTCCCCTGGCACTGAAGGGAGATGCGTATCAGTGGTGCCTGATTACACCTTAGAGCTGCAAGTCTCCAGCTGGGATGTGTCAACACAGTGGCAGCTCCCGCTGCGAGACCCTTTCTGGCACTGGAGCAGGTGACACATTGACAGGGCAGGCTCTGAGGGGGGTGTGCTGGGTGTAGGATGGCTCAGCATCCTCTCATGTGTATGGTTACGTGGTTCTGGTGACAATATTGTGAATGACCTGCCCAGAGCAGTGGCAGGTGGTTAGAATGTCCCATGTGACTGTGTGGACCTAATTTAATCAGAGGGTTTAGGAAAGCCCCTTCAGGAAAAGGGGGAGGAGCAGAAGGTTTAGAGAAGGGCATATTTGAAAGACAGTGAGAGAAGCTGTTAGTTCAGTAGATTGCCTCCTGAGGAGGATGTGAGCTTTTCCTGCCTGGCTTAAAACTGGAAGATCAAAAAAAACAGAGCAGCTTTAAATGGGAGCCCAGGCTTGGGGTGGAAGTGTTGGTGAGTGCAGGGAATGGGTTATGTCAGCTCTTGGCCGCAGGGCAGAGGAGTCTGCATAAGGCTTTCATTTCCCAGGGTCTGCACAAGGCAGATGGCTGGGTTCCTGATAAGTCAGACATGCATGCGGTCTGCTTGGTAGTTTTAGGACCTCTTTTTCTCCGAAATGCTTTTAATAGAACTACTTTACTCCCCAAAATGCTGTTCAGTCCTCTTCCTTTGCGGAAGCAAACTTCAGGTGTAAGACAGAGCAGCTGAGGTAATTGGGGTTAACAGGGCAGCTCCAGGAGCCAGCGGCACTGGCAGCAGCGGAGGGCTGGCAGAGAGGGGCAGGGAGGCTGCTGAGGAGGCCAGGCTGACCCCTTTGCTCTGGGGATGAGCAACATGTCCCCACAGGGAATCAGAGGAGGATGTGAAGTGCCCTGTGTCTGCAACTTGCTAATCCTGACCACTGGTGGGAGGGATGGTGGGAAGGATTCTGCACACGTGGGGACCCTAAAGTGAGCAGAGGCACCGGGTAAGTTGTGTCACCTTAGGAGTGTCACTGAGAGGAAATCCCTGAGCAACTTTGAGCAGTGCTGGGCCCTCCTGCCACCTCCCCTGTCTCTGTGAAACCCGGCTGTTCTGTCTCCCACAGCACAGCAGAGAGATGCCATAGCAATGTCTCTCTTTTCATCTCTCTGCTCCAGGTGTGAAAGCACAGAGGAATATGATTACGATTACCTCAGCATCAATAAAACCTGGGTCCTCACCCCTAAGGCACAGGAGACTGATGCCACGCAAATCCTCAACTCACTGCTGAAGAACTATGACAACAAGCTGAGGCCGGATATTGGCAGTAAGTGTCCCTCAGAGCCACCCTTTGGGGAGTGGGGCAGTGGGTGGTGACCTGCCTGAGGGTGTCCCATGTTCTCCATGTGGCTTTGCAGCTGCTGTAGTTGGGATGTGTGGTCAGATGGAGCCATGCTGCTCCTGAATGCTCCCTGCAGCCCCCAGTCCTTTGTCCTTTGCTGATGACCCCAGCCTCCTACTCACCCGTATGCATTTTATTTTCCTTTACAGTCAAGCCCACATTTATTGATGTGGATATCTACGTGAACAGCATCGGACCAGTATCTGTGATCCAGATGGTGAGTGGACATCCATGCTACAGTGTCATGGGTGTACAAAGACTGAGGATGGGGGCACATGGAAGGTAGCTGACCCTCTGCTGCCTCATGGGTTGCATCCTGCTAGCTAGACATAGCATGAAGGAGGTGTTGTCACAAGAAGAGGTGGATTTGTGTCCCTTCTTTGGGAAGATGTGCTCTCAAGTGTTGATTGCTGGAACTAGGGAAGCATGACTGCCATCCTTGGTTAGGAGCAAGGTCCCTGTACATCGTAGATGGGCTCAGTGACCCTGCTGTGCTCGAGGAAGTGGTGATAATGCTCTCTGTTCTGTCTGCAATGTGTAGACAGGTATCTCTGCGTGGAGGCTTTGCCCTCCCCAGCCCTGGGGGAGCACAAGCATGAGTGCTAGGATGCTCAGGGCAAACTGCACTGCTCCTGCTGAGGCGCTGCTGTGCTGGCTGGGAGGGGGAGCACTGCAGTTCTCGGGAGGATTGAAATAGGTAGCTGAAGATGGTTGCCATGGCAATGGTCTGATGGTGTGAAACTTGGGTGCCTAGGCCTGCGCTTGTTGTGTTGGGGAGAGGCAGGGAGGGAGGCTTGGATCAAAAGGCTATATTCCTATACTTTGCTATCTTAGATTGATGTCATCACGATTTTGGCAGTTTCCACTCGTGGTTCAGGCCCTGCTGTACCAGGAGTTGTAGAAATACTCAATATAGATGCTCTTTGCTGTGAAGAGCCTCCAGGCCTTGCATCACTGGAGAACAGCTGTTGATTACTTTTAATGGGGAACTTCTATTCCCCTGTGAAGTCTTTTTCTCTTTTCTTTATTTTTTTTTCTTTTCATAAAGAAACAAACCTGACAATGGTTTTGAAATGGTTTTGAAAACCACTTTTGACCACTGGACAGTGTGGTAGGGGAAGGCAAGGGAGAGGTAGCTTGCGCAGTTTGGGTCATCTTGTCTCTCGTAATGCAAAACTGAACAGAAACAAAAACAGTCTCCTTCAAAGCTGAAAAAAGGGTTTTCAGGACGGGGTGTGTTTTTACTTTCATAAAGTGAAAAACTTCCACTGAACAAATCTGTTTAGTGGATGGAGGAATGGCATCATAGAGGTAGTACTGCTTTTCCTCCAAAAAGCATTTCAGTGCAGCCTTTGCAACCAAGCATGTGCATCCCTGCCATGCATGCTCATGAGCTAGCCAGACAGGGACCTGGCTGGGTGCTCACCTGCATGACAAGGACACCATCAGGAGGCCCAGCAGGGGAAGTCTTCAAGTCAAAAAACTTCCTTTAATTGTTTTTTGCAGGCCCAGTGGTTCTCAGAGACATGGCTTTGTGCAGGTTGAAGTTTTCTGACTGAGCCCCACGAAGGAGGAGAGGAGCAGTGGGGTGGGGAAAGCCACAGTCGTGTTGCTGAGCTGTGTTCTGCTGTGGCCATCTGAACCTGGACTAGTTACTCAGACAGGGTGGGGAGCAGGCCCTGTCAATAGGGGCTGGGTGATCAGGGATGCAATTTGAGTGTTACTGCAGCCGATGCATCCCCTGTGAGATTGAAGTAGGTCATCCAGTAACTGCAGGGTAGGACCTGCCCTCAGGCCCTTGTCCCACCCTTCCTGAAAGCTCGTGCTTGACCTCTCTGGGAGGGGAGGAGAGCCATAGCTGCATGATGCCTTAGCACAGGCCACGGGGATCAGGTCATCCCCAAACTGCTAGCAGATATTGCGAGCTCCTCCATGCAGCATCATTGTGTGGACCTGAAGCCACAGCTGGCTTAGGAGCACCAATGCAGAGGGGAAGCGTGCGGGGCTGGGTGTGCTCATCTCCCCAGCAAGTGCAGTGCCTGGAGATGGATCATGGGAGTCGTGTTGTAGGTGGCTGTCCTATCTGGTTTGCATTGCCCTAGGATATGCCAGGAAAACAAACCAAAACCGCTATGCACTTCTTCATCCCTACTTCTTCATCTTTCCTTTCCATCCCCCTTGGATGCTTTGCTCTCCTCCCTGTTACAGGAACACTGCATGACTAAACAGGTTGAAGGAGTAAGGAATGGCTTACAAAATCCAGTCTGGCATTCAGAGTTCATCTCTTCTCCGAAACAGAGATAGCAGGCACTGCTGCTAGTCTGGTTTCCTAAGAAACAAAGCCTATGCAATGGTAATGTGTATGTGAGAATGAATGTATGTATGTCCATCCCAGCACTTCAATGACTTTTGATCCACGGGCTTAATACTGACTATATTTGGCAGCAAGGATATGGGCATCGCACATATTCAGTTCCTCCAGTTTTTGTGGAAAAAGGATCCCAGGCAGAGACAAGAGCCACCCCCCCCCCCTCCACCCCAAGGGAAAAGCTATTGTGTCACCTCAACCTTTACTAGACACCAGAGAATCCATGTGGGAGAGTGCTGCTGAAATCAGGCTTGACTATTCCTAGAGCAGCTGAACCAATATACTTTGGCTCTTTCTAAGAGTCAGCAGAAGCTTTTACTCGGTGTGAAATGGGGCTCCATGACTGCACAGGATCCCTGGGGGGTCCCAGCGCACTTAATGCGAGTCAGGAGCATGAAGGCATGACTGGCTCTTGGAAGCTATCTGTATCTGCAGGGCTCAGCTGGGGAAGCTGCTGCCTCAGAGCTGATTTACCCAACTGCAGCCTCCCCATTTGAGGAAGATATTGGTGCACTGGGTAATTGCTGTTAATGGGAACACCGTAGTGAGGAGCTGCTCAGCCAGGGGAGGAAACCGCTCAGCCCAGACAGCTGAGGACTTAGACTTGTGGTATTTTGCTGTGACAATCTCAATTGCCTGCATAGTCTCTCCAGGGTGCCTGGATGCTGCCAGTCTGGGGGTCCCTGCTGGGTTCCAGCCCCTTGAAGGAGGCAGTCCCTACTGCCAGCTAGAAAAGCAGATCTTCCAACAGTGACCAACAATTTAAGGACACCTCTGCACTGGTATCCCTAAGCAGACTCTCTATGAACCTTGTTCCTTCACCATCCCTTTACTACCTTCTGAATCCGTGATGCCCTGGAGTTTGAAAGCCTTTCTCCTTGAGATGCTGGGTAGATACTGAAGATGGCTAGGCCCAGATCTTATGGTTTTGGAAGGCAGCTTTTTGCCATCTGTGTGGCTGAATGCTTCCCCCTGCTCATGAGAAGTTGCATCCTGCTATAGCTTTTTCTAAAGAAAGAAAAAAGGGCTGCAACGAAGCCACTGTGGCGGGCCATGGTGTCACTGCTGGGCTTACTGCTTTGCCCAGTTTTTTTTTGTTTATTTTGTTTTGTCCTCCCCTTCCTGCTTATGCAACAGATCAAGCCATTCTGTGGGTCCTGCTGCCAGCAGTGCTGGCATCAAAGGCACCATCCAGATTGTCATTGCTGGGGAAGAAAGGTTCTCACTGCCAGCACTTTACCCCTTTTTACAGAGCTGCTTTTAGCCTGGGAAACTCTACCTTCTTTCAGATCTCAGGCCTGTCCTGAATGCCTGATCTTTCCCTTTTCCCATACACAACCTAAGGCAATGCGTATTTCCAAGGGAAGAGAACCAGGATTTGACTTGGAGCTAGATCTCTCCTGAGCTGCTGGTGAAATTTCTCAGAGATGCTCTGTCTGAGCAGCTGTAGTCTCTGCTGCAGATACAGAGCTTCGTGTAAGGTGGAAGGTCCACTGGAGGGGAGATGCCTTATTGATCTCTTAGGCGTGTTTTTAATGACAGCTTCTTAGGTAAAACATTTGTCCCTCGTGTGGCTAGGACACGTAGAAGATAAAATCCTAGCTCTGCTTTTAGAGGATATACCACTATTACTGTGGCTTCTAGCATAGCCCAGTATTATCTGTGCAACCGAAGCCAAAGGCTGCAGGACTCCGACGTGCTGGTGGAATGGAAGACTCCAATTAAAGCAATGTAGTCTGAATATTGGGTATCTTATGATCTCTCACCCATCCCTCAAAGAGTTAACTACTCACTGCTGCCTTCAGCCTGGCAATACTCTGCTAGTGCCTGGGGGCTGGTCCTTGCTCAACCTCAAAGTGATAAATTGCATCAGGATACAAAACGGATTCAGGTCCTTAGAAATGAAAAGGTGATTTGAAAATGCCCTGTGTTGGGTGTGAATTCTGCATCACCCTCATCGATCACTTGTCATAAATAACATTAATATTCAGAAGTCAGCAGAAAGCAGGCAGGTTTGGAGAGGGAAGAAACGTAAAGTGATTTCCTGGTATCTTTTGTGGACCAGAATGGCTATCTTATTTCCCATTTAGGTATTCAGGCGCTTTAGAAATTCTCTCCTCCCTGTGAAAAGGACCTTGCTCTGCTGTCCCAGGGGAGAACAAAAACATGGCAGCAACCCAAATAAAGACCCAAGCTCTTGTTTCTTCCTGCCCTGTCCCTCTGCTTTCTTTTGCTTCCGTGCTGGGCACAGGGTGGGAAGAGGGCAGTGGGATGGCCGGGCACTCGCATCAGGGCGCCTGCAGCAGCTGGCGGGCCAGGCTTTCACTGGCAGCAAACCCATCCATGGAGCAGGACGATGCTGTCTGTAGGGCTGCCCATGGTTATGCACGAGGGGGCAGGAAGGCAGTCGGACTCCTTGTGCTCCAGCAGGGCACAGCTGTGCACCACCAGGAAGTGGTTGCGCAAGGAGTTAAATGAAGTGGATTTTGGAGCCTGTCCCATGGGCCACAAAGGGCCTGGACTTGGTTGAGAGGAGAGGATGGGCTGAGAGGGAAAGCACTATGGAAAAGGTTATGTTTCCATCAGGCCCAAATGCTATTTGCTCCCATTGCTGCATGGGCTGGGGTTTCAAAGGGCTGTTGGCATAAGTGGCCTCCCTGTTCCCATGAACCCATTGTCTCTGGGTGGGATTGGGGCACTTGGCATGTCCCAGGCAGCTGAGGTGAGCTGGCTTCAACCAGCAGCTACGGGGTAGCGTGGCAGTGTGTTCCTGCTGTCGAGGAAGGGCATGCTGGGCCGCGAGCTTCCCGGAGCCACCGGCTGCCACTGGGACTGGCCAGCAGCACGCC